AAAGCCCATGACATGGGGTGACATGGTCAAAAAGCTTTCTGATCTAAGGTTTTGAAAATTCTCCCAGGTCACCTTAGGGCACTGTTACCTACTGAAAGGCGACATCAGAGAAGCCAAACCAATACCAGGCAGAGGGTCCATGCCATCTCTGCCTGCCACAGCCATGGTGATCTGCCTGAATATATATCCATCAAGTTAGCATGTTGAGTCACCTTTGCTAAGTCATACGCCTCAGCTGGATGTGTGACCACATGTGGAAGCAGAGCAGGAGGTTGGGCTTGATGATTTTAGAGGCTCTTCCCAACACTTCTACTATCCTATTCTATCAGTTCTCATGTTACAGTGTTCTATGGCAGGCAGTTATCTCACACTATTGGGTGCTGCATGACACACAGAGGAAGGGACTTACAAAACAATACATTTTAAAAAGGTAAAGAAAATTGGGTGCAGTGGGAAGGCACCTGGCAGATATCTTCACAACAGGAGTGGAAGGGGTGCATTTGGGTATAGAGGAAGAAGTGGAGATCAGTTACAAGATAGTTTAAAGATCAAGTGATAGAATAGCAACATCTCTTGGAAAATGGCAGCCTCTCTGTTAAGAGCTACGTCAAATGTCAAGTGTTTAAAACTGATTTTCCAAGGCTTAAACTAAGGAAGATGTAATTGCAGTGTTCAATCAGTCTTCCAAATCACCAAGTAACAATTTAAGTAGACAAATTAATTCAAAACAAGCCACAATGTCATGGAAGCTTTTTCATATATATAGGAATACAGGAATCTGTAAGTTGCATTTACTTTAACCTGCTTTTCTTAATTTTTAGAACACCTTCCAGTGGTTTTACAACAGCATTTGTAGAACTGATGAACAAAAAAATATCAATATATAAAACTCAGAATGTTAAACAAGAGGCAATATAACATATCCAGCAGCAATAATACAGCAATCAGAAAGCTAGGAGACAGCCCCAGACAGAATGCAAAAGGCTTACTATATTTTGATGAGATAGCTAGAAAAGAAAGGAATGGCTTGGCAAGCTTCACTGAGGGAGGATGCTCCTTGTTGTGGGCAACACAGTTGAACCTTCCCCCTACTCCTGTGCCCATCTATCCAACATCAACTGGCAGGGGATGCAGGAGCAGGCCTGAAATGCTGGTTGTGGTGGGTATGTATGGGAAGGGGTGACCTTTCTAGTATCAGCCTATTTATGGTTTTAAAGAACCAGCACCTTGCATTAAGCCCAGAAGCAACCAATGGAGATAATAAAAGTCCAGCAAAACAGGCTTCATTTGAAAGGAGCATTTGGGACCATTTTTAAAAAACAGAATTCCAGAGCAGCCCCATGTACAGCGCATTATAGTCCTCTAGAGATTACAAAAGTGTGGATGAGGGTGGCTGCATTGGTTTTGTTCAGCAAAGATCCCAACTGGTGTTCCAGGCATAGCAAATAAAACCCACTCATAAACACTGCCTTCACCTGGTCATCCATAAGCAACTACAGATCTAGGATCATGAAAACTCATGTCTTAAGAAAGAGTGCAACTTCATCCAATTACAAACAGAACAACTAAGCCTTGATCAACCAACTCTAGCCCATAATTGTTTAACTGCACCTGAATGTTTAGTTGTTCACCCAATAGTCCCTCATTACCACCAGAGATTAGTTGAGTTTTCACCACCACCTTTGGATCTGATGATATGTCTAAGTGTTACTAGCATACTGACCACACTTCATTCTGAACCTCTGGAAGGGATCACCCAGTGGTTTCATCTAGATAATAAAGAGCCTGGGGGACAAGATGGTGATTCTGGAGCAGACCATACACCAAAAGCCTTGGGGCAGAGCAGTAGTCCTCCAGCTTCTACTTTAGAAATTGAACAGAAACATGTTTTGCCAGTGACTCTTAGGAAAATGAAGGTGGTTGTCTCCTGGACAAACATGGAATGACTAACATAGGGATCTCAAGGGCCACCAATGGAAGAAACTAACAACACTGGACATAACATTCATACATCATGGGCAAGTTATACACACTTTAAACTGCTTGCATAGGTCTCCATAGGGAAGAGATCCACTACATGCTTTCTGGGTTTGCTCAGACAAGGAAAACCACAATTACTAATGTGAAGAAAATTCCTGCACTATCACTCTTTCACCAGTATGTTTCTTGATGAAGAAAAACAAGATCTATATGCTAAAATTTTGTACTGACCACACACACTGCACTCATACATGCCAATAATTGCCTCCACTTGGATGGCATAAAATTTGTAAAAGTCCCCTTGGGATACATCTAAGTCATTATATTGTTTCCATATTGTACTGGGGCATGGAGACCCAGATACAAAATGTATGTACTTCATTAAAACATATTTTTGGGGTCCTTCAACATTAGAGGAAGCAGCTAGCTGGAAGAATTCAAACACATGTTCCACAGAGTACATGATATACTGTTATATTGTCCAGCAATGCCTTTCCCCATGCCCATGCCTATTCTGTAAGGTCTTTTCATTAGCAAGTCCTATTCAGTGAAATCACTTTTTAATGCTAAAGCCTTCTGTATGCAGCTTCAATCTGTTTTTAATGCATCCTATCCGCAGTGGGAAAAGTGACAAACAGCCTCTAATTGCCCCACAAACAGCTTCCCTAAATTTCTCCAAGGCCAGTTTCTCTTCCCATGTGAGAGGGAGAGACTTTAATTACTGATTTTTCGTCTCTTCCTTCTCTTTTTAATGGCAAAATGTGCTATCAAGGTAGGGGTGAGGAATTGTGGCCCTCCAAATTGTGGCCTACAACTTCTACCATCTATCAGCACTGGATTTGCTGGCTTGGAATGATGGGAACTGTAGGTGAAAGCTTCTGGAGGGCCACAAACTGCCCCTGTTCTAAAGTCTTGGAGTCTTCTTCTTACCATTCCAGAAGAAGAATTGGGATTGGGGCAATTTAGAGTCTATTCAAATGGAAAAATCAGAGAATAACATACCATGGGAGGATTACTCAGAAAGTATAGGAATGCAAAGGACTGGTAAGGAGGTAGTCTTGGTGAAATACAAGGAAGAGGTCTCCACACCTTTCTTGGCTATGTTTACATGTTAATTGGTGGCTTGTGCCATTCTTAACACAAGACAGAAATGTTTTGTATTCAACTATCCACATCTGAGAATTGAATAAAATGAGAAGTAGTCCCTGCTGGATGAATTTTGTTCATGCTGAGGGACAGACTGATAATCACAACTGAAATTTAAAATGAATTCCCGCTCCAATTCCTACTGGCTAGCAGCCCTGAGTTTAATTTGACTTCCCCTGCAGTGCACAGCGTGATTTCCTTGTACAGGTTATCTGTGACTACTGAACTGCACACATCATTGTGGTGCTTGCTCACATGCAGATACAGAGTCCAGACATTTAGACCAGATGGGCCTTATGGCCCTTTTTGAACTCAATGATTCTCCAGTTTGTGGGTAGGCAACTTGTGGCTTTCCAGATATTTCTCTCTCCAACAGCTATCAGTCCTAGCAAGCAGAGTTAATGGTGAAGGGTAATGGGAGTCACATCCCAAAATCTTTGGAGGAAACAGCAAGAGACGCTAATCTGTCACAAAACAGACAGAGAAATGTACACAGTATTTATGTTGCCCAATGCATTTCAGAAAGAACTTTTCTTCTTCAGGGACTGCTTATCAGTAACAGAGAATGCTCATCAATGACACCTTCTCAGGTTGGAGATAGATAATGAGTGGGGTGCCACAGAGTTCAGTCCTGGGACTAGTGCTCTTTAACACCTTTATTAATGATCTAGAGGAAGTAGTCCAAGGAATGATAATTAAATTTGCAGATGATACAAAAATTGGGTGGAATAGTTAACACCCTGGAAGAGAAGATGATTCAGGGTGACCTAGAAAGCTAGAATGCTGGGCAGAAGCAGAATTAAGTTCAACAGGGACACATGCCTAGTTCTCCACCTGGGGAAAAAATGCATCGATACCAGATGAGGAATATTTGGCTTAGCAACACTGAAAAAGAAAAAAAGTGTTTGGAGTGGTTGTGGACAACAAGCTAAATACAAGCCAGCTATGTGATGCAGTCACAAAAATGCCAAACACTATCTTGGGATGCATAAATAGAAGCCTCACTTCCAGAACAAGAGAGGTACTAGTTCCCCTTTACTCTGCACTAGTTAGACCTCACCTGGAATACTGTATTCAGTTCTTGATACTCAAGTTTTTAAAAGATGCAGAAAAACTAGAAAGCATTCAGAGGAAGGCAACAAAGATGATCCAGGGTCTGGGAACTAAGCCCCATGATGAGAGGTGGAGAGAGCTGGGCATGTTTAAACTTGAGAAGAGAAGACTATGAGGGGATATGATAGCACTCTACAAGTACCTCAAAGGCTGACACAAAAAAGGAAGGAAAAATACCTCTTCTCACATCCCTGAGGGTAGGACTCAGAACAATGAACTTAAACTGCAGCACACCAGATTCAGGCTAGACACAAGGAAAAACTTCCTGTCAGAGAAATACAACAGTGGAACCAGTTGCCAAGAGAGATCATGGCCTCTCCCAGACTAGAGACATTCAAGGCAAAACTGAAAAGTCATCTGGGTGGGATGGTGTGACTTGGCATGCTGCATCAATAGGGAGTTGGACCTGATGGTCCCCTTGGCACCTTCTGACCCTACTATTCTTTACATCTATCTTCAGATGTATTGAAAAGAATCCTTCCAATGCTTCTTCTGCTTGATACACCAGAAGATATATAGTCCCCAAGGAAGGCCATTTTTTAAAACAGGCTTTTCGGGCATCTGGGAACTTTTTGATTTGCAAAACATCTGGAGGGCCACAAGTTCTCCAGCCCTGCTCTCATTCATTGACAAGATATAACATTTTACTTCAAGCCAGTTGTAACAGTAGAAAGGCTTTCTATGAACTCAGAAACTGCCCTGCTGTTTCATCCCAAACAGCAGAGTCATCAGAAATGAGAGGCCTGAAAATAAAGACACGGTTTTCAAGAATAAGCACAACTTCAATTTTATTCAACAACAATGTTGATGATGGGAATGTTTGGTGCATATTTTCTCTCTCAGGGCAAATGTTCCAGGTAACAAATGTAAATTAAAACACAGATTATGTTTTAAGTAGCACACAATACAATTTTGCTCTTAATTAAATATATATTTGGCAATGTTTTTTCAAGTTTTTTGTACAAAATCAAATCCCTTGCAAATCTCCTTTCTAGGATGAAAACCTGAATCTATCACACTTTGCAGTATCTATGGCATCTGCCACTTTGCACACAAAATAATCCACCCCATCCAGGACAAAAAATGCCCACCGGTTTTAGTGATATGTAATTACATGACAGGAACATAAAACAACTGACTGCATTAAAACGGGAAAAATCATGGAGGTGAGATATTAAGACATGGCTATTAAGAGGTTAAAAATGTTCATAGCAAAGACCTGTGGATTCTTTATCATCTTAAGAATCCATTACTTGACAGAGCACAAATGGTGGGGGTAGATGCTGGTGTTAATGGAAAGTAAAGCGGAGGGGGGCCATGACAACAATGGCGTAGAAATGGAATGTCATTCATCATCTTCATTTTCACCGAGCTTGGCTATTTAGTTGACCCTACGGTTCGTAGTGGAGAGAAGGAGACTATACCTCACTCCACACTCCACTTACAGTAGTTTCATCCCTTCTTTCCTTGCAGTTAAAGCACCTGTAATGCTGGATTTGGTTTGGTGGTTCTGCAGTTTGGCCAAACTGTCCTTTTTCTGGGAATGTGTACTCCAGCATTTCAAGAATAGGGAATTTTCTCTCAGGACACTCTTTTATTTGACTGTTCATTTGATCTTCTCCAGATGCAAGAAGTTAATGAAGTCAAGTGTTTTTTTCCCTATTAGTTATGGGGGAGATGTTGTCAGACAGAAGGGTAAAAAGTGAGGGGGAATAATATGTTTTATAGTTCACCCCAGATGAAGTCCAATGTGCATATTTTGTTCTCTTCTTTTCCATTTTTTAAAAAACACAGCTCTCCAGTTACAACACTTCCAGTTTAAGTCTCTGCAGTGACAGTCAATTTAGTTACAGTCATACACAAAGTCATAATTGCTTGGTTCCTTTGGAATAGGTGGTGGAGCATCAGGGATCTGTATGTTCTCCAGATCCAGGAGGCGCAGTTTTATCTCCATACTGAGCAGAGTGTCCAAGTCATTGCGTGTCAGTTCGCTCATCATATCCTTTCCAAGAAGGGCATTTAGGCCATCTGTCCACACACAGTGCTATGTGAGAGGGGAGAAAAAAGGAGGGAGGGAGAGAGGGAAGGAGTGGGGAGAAAGGGGGAAAGACAGTGCTCTGTATCATTCTGGCATTCATAAATGTGTCCAACTGCGAACTGATGACATTTCAAGTATATTTACGTCCTGCCATTTCACTTAAAATGGATATAGAACAGCTGGTCTCTTTTGTGGTGAGATGGATGAACTAAGCCTGTATGTGGGGCACACTGATCATTCTCAGGTGGGGAACATGGTCAAGTTCAGAAATGCCGTGTTACCCCCAGGTTACAGTGGGCATTCACCAGTTTTGGGGATGCTGCCACATGGAGAACATGAAAGAGAAAGCTGCATCTGTTCTCTGGTAAGGAAGACATGATGCAGTCTGTCTGCCTTCCCACCAATTCAATTCCTGCCTTCCTATTGTGCAAGTACTCACTTTTGTTGTTAAATCTAGGTTGGTTGGTTGGTTGGTTGGTTTGACCATTTTCTCACATCTGTTCTTGTCTGACCCAGTAAAGATCTTTGTATGTGTATATGTATGTGTGTCTAGATCCTCATTTTGTTAATGAACTGGAAAGGGAAATTTATTATTTTTAAAGTATTCATGTGTTATATTTATATCCTGCTTTCCCCCAACAAATTCAAAGTGGCTTACATCATTCTCCTCCTCCTGTTCTCAATCTTATCCCCACAACAACCCTGTGAGGTAGGTTGGGCTGAGAGTCTGTGACTTGGCCCAAGTCACCCAGTTGGCTCCATGGCTGAGCAGGGACTAGAACCCAGATCACCTGAGTCCCAGTCCTGTGCTTTTAACCACTGCACCACAGTGACTTTCTTATCAGAAAAAACATTATAATATATAGCCTCTGTATTATGACACTGGGTTTATTCTGGGAAGTGTCAAATACTGTATTGCTCTGTCCTTCTTAAGAATCTAAATTATGTCCCTGTAGCTTGACTTCAAAAATAGTGCTCTGGATACTGGATTTAGCTGTACAAAAAAAACAACAACAAAAACAAAAAACCAAAACAAAACTAGGCATTTCTATATACCCTGAAGCTGACAGTTCCAGATAAACACAGTCTAAGTAACTGTTTTAAATCAGCAACCATCCTAGGGGACTTCACAAATGACAGTCAAATCCTATTCAATCAGCCACTTGAATTTATTACTAAAAGCCATTTATGCAACTGTGAACAAAAATGCCTGAATGGTATTGTCTAAAAATAAATATTTCAATCACATCAGCCAGCGTCCTAGTTTGCAAGTGGAAAATTAAATCAACCATAGCAGGGTTTTTATCATATAAAGGATTCTTTTAGATTCCATGCCAAAGGATGGATTTTAAATTTAGCTGACCGTGCGCTACAAAATTGCATTGAGCTTAAAAATAGCTAGAGCTTACCATGTGCAGCCTGAGTTTTTTAAAAAGGAGAGAAAATGAAAGAATTGTTATATGAATATACAAAATGAGAGAGATGAAGAAGTCAAGCAGAACCTGGAGTATGGAAGGCAGCATCTATTGGGGTAGCATCATCCTGACCTTCTAGCCTTTCCTGGGTTCTGAGCATGTGTTTCTGAGGCTGGATGTTTGGGTCAGAATAGAGGTTCTGTTGGTTTATCATTTGTCCTGCTGCCCAGCTGTCTGTTTACCTGCATTGCTCAACATAATCTCAACATGATGTTGATTTTCTCCAGGCTACTTGTTCTGGGGGATTTCAATGTCAGGAGCTGCTCAGGAGTTCATGACCACCATGGCAACCTTGAACTTATACTAGATAATTTCTGACCCCACATATTCAGCTGGATACACCTTGGACAGTTTCCTTTCTGCTGGATGGGATGAGTGAATAGGGGTGGGGATCAGGAACCTAATATAGTTCTGTGCGCCTTCTTCAGTTCCATTTTTTTCTTACCAGCACTGCCCCCAAACATGGCTCTCACTGTTACCACCTGCTTGCCTGTCAAGCAGAGAGCCAAGAGGCAGTGGCATCCTTTGTTTATTGATCTAATTTCTATACCACCTGAAGCTTTCTATACCAAGCTGAAGCTTTCTGGTGGTTTACAATAGTGCCTAAAAATAAAAAAGCAATTTATATTTAGCACATATATTTAAAACACCTTGGGTGAGTAATTCCTTCATAACCCTGAATGTTTCAACCTGGCTGTCTTAACCTGGTCTGCAAAAGATGCCAAGGTTGGTATCGGCAGGCTTGCAGTGGAAAAATCATTCCATCAAGGGGTGGGGTGGGGTGGGGGGGCTATGGAAAATCCTCCTCCTTATTGCTACCCTCCCTGAGCACCCCAGAGTTGGCCTTTGGGGGAAGGCCCTGTATGTTGAGTGGTGTTCTGGGTAAATTGTGAATGGGAATGGTGCTGCATGAATTATTGTGGTCCTGCGCTGTGTAAAGCTTAATAGGTTAAAACCAGCACCTTGGATTGGGCATGGAAGCATCCAGACAACCAATGTCAGCAGGCCAGGACTGGTTTTATGTGTTTGGATCTATGGGTCCCTATTATTAATCTGGCTACCATGTTCTCCATGTACTAAGGCTTCTGAACAGTCTTCAAAGGCAGCCCCACATAGAGTCCACTGGCGTAATCTAATTTGGAGATTTCCAAAGCATAGATTATTCATACCAGGCTATCCCTGTCCAGATAGCAGTGTAGCTGGTTGAACCACTGAGGCCTCCTGAACCTCAAGTGATAAAATGGATAAAAGAGAACCTCCAAGCTACAAACTTGCTCATTTAGATGGAGTGCAGCTCCTTCCAGAATTGGTTGAACACCATTCAGAGGTTCACCCCCACCAACAGCATCTCATTCTTGGGCTTCAAGCCTTCATCCAGTCCACTGTCACACCTATTGCTCTTCTTTCAAACTTCCACTGTTGGCTGAGCCAGAGAGAGGAAGGTGGACAGGCTGCTTGCAATGCAGAGGAGGAACAAGTCCAGGAGCTCTTGTCATTATGTCCCCTGCTGGTGAATGAGCACTTGGCAGGTCTCCAACCAAGTCGAGTCAATGCTTGATGTGTGCCCTGAGTCAGAGGAGACTGCATCTTCAGAGCTCCATTCCCTTCAATCACATTTATGTTTCACCCAAGGCATGAGGTAACTGTGGTTGACAAGCTGGCCTTTATGATTTCAGAAAGGTGGGTCAGATACTGCTGATTTGCCCCTGACTGTTAGGTGTAAACTAAATACTGTAGCACCTGGCCGTCGCTAATTTATACAGTTTGCAATCTCCTTCTTGAATCTGGATTAAAAATCACCCCAACAGCTGGCCTTCTGGGGTCATTTTGTCCTCCCACTGTACTCTCTGCGTATTGTTTCACCTATAGGAAGAATTCTGGAAAATGTGAAGCTTGCATGGTATTTTATAACATTTTGGTTGGTCTTAGCAAAAGTATTACCTAACTGTGGATTTTGACCTTAAAATCATGAATTGCTAATTATACCTTCTCACAGGATATGGCACATTTATTTACTTCTTCGTTTTCTTTGTGGAAATATGCATTAGCTTAGGCCCAGCTTACTTTATTTTGGCAAGTATAATTTTTAAGTGGGAGTCACTGAGTAGCTGCAGCAGCACCATAATTGAACATCCATGGTCAGCTAACCAGCAACTTGGAGCTGCTGTTGGTGTATGTTTCACACAGATCAGAAGAGACTGAGCAGTCCTGCTATGAACCATCTCAGTATTCTCCTGGTTGATTCTTCTGGAATCCTGGAAAATGTTCCTGAATGTTTAGGAATCCAACATGGTGTTATTTATACAAACCAATGGACAGGGAAACAGTTCTCCTTCTTTCTTTCTAACACACACACACGCGCACACACACACAAATTTACCTCATGCTTGTCAGGAGCAATGAAATTTAGTTGACCATTTGAATCATACAGTATAGAAAAAGCTAGCTCCAGCACCTCCTGAAAAGAGAGAATGAAAGTTACTGGGAAAAGGACTCAGCTGTGAGTATTCAACAGTTTCATAAGCTTGGTTCACACATATTGGTAGGCCAGGGTTTGGCACCGTATGAAGGAGCAGTAGCAAGCCTTTGGCTCATGTGCTCCTCCCTCATCACTCCCCAAGTGTGGCCATGAGGAAGAACTTAGAAGTATCCACTGAGGGTTTTCAGCTAACTACTGCTTATGTGAAAAGCTAACTACTGTGCTTACTTTAAACTATGCCTTGTTGAAACAAGCCAGTGTGATTTATGATCCTAGCCTGTTTTAACAAACCATAGTTTAACCCAGTTTTCCTCAATCTGGTGCCCTGCAGCAGTTTTCAGGTTCAACTCGCAGCAGCCCTAGCCAGCAAGGCCAACAGTTAGGATTGCTGGGAATTAATATCCAAGTCATCTGGAAGGCTGATTTAAGAGTCCAAATCTGGTTTAAAATAGGAAATGGATGCTCCCAATCTCTTTCTCATGATTATCCTGGAGGAAGGAGGGAAAGAGGGACTGCATGAGCCCAGATTTGTTAGCCCTTAAAGTGCTACAATAGTTTCTGTAGTCTCTGGTTTGCACTGGTTACAATCTGTTAAGAAATCCCACAATACTTAAATGACTGTATTTCACCTCTGGAAAGTCCAGGAAAGGAAAGAAGTCCCAGAGAATAGCCTCTAGAATACTGCATAATAGAATCAACTGGATAGCGAGGTGGTCTTGTGACTCCTGGAGAAAAAGAATCCAACTTTGCTATTGTTGGGAGGTTGTTATATTTCTGGAACCCATCAAAAGAAAATTCTGCAGATGAACTCACCAGCAGAGGTGGTAGCTGCTGGCTTGACTGATGTGCTCAGCTATCCATCTGCCCAGAGCTCAGGCAGACATTTTCTATTTTAGGTAAAATCTGTGCTCTGGTATATTAAAAGTAATGGCCCCATCAAAAAGCCAAATTTATCTCTGTCCTCTCAAATCTGGCATCACTTCTTTGTGCAGTGGAGCAAATTACTGACATTTCACAAATGGCAAGCCATGCACGTAGCCCACAGAAATAAAACCTCTCACTGCAGAAGCAAAGTAAAAAGTAAAAAAAAAAAAAAAGCAGTATCCTGGCAGTGGTGATCAACACAGCAATACTGTCTTGTCTATAAGATTATGTGTGCTAAATGCTTTTTGGCGTCAATTGCCACGCAGGGCAGGATTATTATAATTTAGCATTTTGGTTAATTTTTGTTGCAACATGTGAGCCAGATTACATTAAAAATAGAAGCTAAACTGAAGTATTTATAGTCTGACGATGAGATAACCTATACAGAACATGTGTTGCTATATAAAAATGCTACAGCAGAAGAGTGGAAGCATCTCATCATAAATTAAAAATTGCACCTAAGTATGAGAGTATGAAAGTGCTATAGGTGGGCAATGGGTCCCTATTTTTCCATACTTTAAGATCTGAGTTTCTCAAGTCACATTCTTATGGAATACAGTTCCCCTGAGAGATGGGAAAGTTTGTTAAGCAACAAAGTGGTAGAGTCTGAAGCAAAGAGAACAGACATTTGGGCACAGATATGTCCTATAATGCCCAGCCTTGGTTGCAGACTAAGGTTATATTACTTTGAAGAAATTTGTTATACAAACAGCAGTATTGTTGGTACCTTATGCCACCCAAGTTATACAACATTTTTTAAGGGGCGCTTGCTTTGTGTAAGATGCCTTTAAAAGCAGTGTGTTGGGAGCTAGGTTCCCCCTCTTTCCTGTCAAAACAACAGGTCATTCTTTGGCAAAAGCTATTTTTTCCAGTATACATCCAGCAAAGAATAATCAGTAAATAGTCTCTCTCTGAGCATGCACAGAACAGCTTGTTGAACCCACACTAGAAACTACCTCCGAGAACCCTCCTTTTGAATACCCCTGGGCCCCGTCCCTCTGGGAGGGGCCTCTGTTGACAGGTCAGCCTCTTAGCTGTACACCACCCCTCTAGCTAGCTAGCTAGCCCTTTTCTCCTAAGATCATGCCATGGGGTCAAGGATCGTACCAGGTTCATCTCGCTCCTGTTCTATGCGCCCCACCAGGCACTTTTGAACTATGGCTATTCTCAGGGTCTGCCTGAACACCTGGAGAGGAGGGCTTTGAGATAAGCCTTCCTGCCTCTTCTGTCTCAAAATCTGGAGGCCCTGGACATGCTGGGAAGGAGTTCAGATCCTAAGTGCTGCTGCCCAGTGGCCCTGCCAGTCACCTTGCTGACAGTGGTAGGACACAAGGCAGTGCCCTGTACCCATGATCTCAAGGGACAGGCAGAGCCCACGAGGCAGGTGATGGTTCCAGACCAGGCCAGGCTTTGAAGGCAATAACCAGCATTGTTGTATTGTGTGCAAGAATGGGCCAAAACCCAATGGGAAGTGTGTGTGTTTCACATTATCTATGGCTGAAGCTCCTGGTGGCAGCCTGGCTGCAGGGTTCTCACTCGGCTCCAGTTTCTGGACACTTTTCAAAGGCAGCTGCATATACCATATGATAGAATACTCTGAAGTATGGGTGGCATCAACCACAGCTGCTGTTATCAGGAAGGGATGCAGCTGATGCCCTGCTGGCCACAAGGTCAGGCCTAAGGTCCATGTTCATATGTTCACCTAACCCCACATCTCTGTTGCTACTGACCAAAAGCCCCTTCTGCTTGTTTGGCTCAATACTGGGCTCATTAGCCCATGTGCACTCCAGCATTGACTCCAGCAGCTGTGGTGGACCTTCTCCCCAAGAAAAACAAACCAGTGAAACTTTGGGACGCTGAAGAGCAACATCAGGGCAGTTTTCTTTTCTCAAAAGAGATGCTGCTATGATGGTGGAAGAGATGTACAACATAGCAAGGAAGCTGAATGGAGGAGGCTGCCTCCTATGAGGCCTATTGGCCCACCTAGCCCAGCATCGCTGACAGCGGCTGGCAGTTGCTCACAGGCATTTTCAACAAGCTCCTTTCCAGGCCCTACCTTGTGATGACAGGGACTGAGCCTGGGACTTTCTGTGCACAAAGACTGTGCTCTCCTTCGCCCTTGACAAAGGACTAGCTGTCTGTGCAGAATGCAGGCAATCCCCTGGAAAATTCCAGCTGGGCAACAAGGGCACAGTTCAGAGACTGTCCAACACCTATGCGGTGCCTTTCCTTCTGGGGTTTTTTGAATGCCAAGATTTGAGGAAGTGCTACATGATGATTTTATTTCACTTGGCTGACATCAGTCAGGGTTAAGCAAACAAAGACTATTTTCATTACACTGTGCTTTCTATTTATACAGCAATGTTATTTCGTGGGATTTATAGGATGCTATGTTAAATGTTACTACCTCTTTTATCCCTTTGCAATGGAACACGTTAAAAAATAATAATAAAGGCCCATTCAGAATGAAGCACACAAATCCTCTGAAGTAGGAAGCACTCATACCCTGGTTTTGTCATGAGCAAGCAGTCTAACCAGAAGGTTATTGGATTTTATTGAAAACAATACCTTGTTTTGTTTAAGGGCTCCTTTCTCCTTCATGTGAGGGCAATCCTTCCCTGTCACGACTGCTTTTATATCTGCCACAGGCACTGTATCAAAAGGAAAACAGAGAGTGTGAGAGATACTCCAAGATGTGAAAAACCCAAAGCGTGAAACAAGAGGCAAAACAGAACTGATGTGTCAGATGTGACATGCCTTGTACCAATGTTCTAGCAAAAGATGAGAGAAAGGAACCTACAGGAGCCTGGGAAATCCTGAATGGATGGTAGCTTCAAATGTCACCAGCACAGATGAAACTCTACAGACTTTCTACTCTTCCAGAATAGAAATCAGAGTGGAGGGCTGATGAGAATCTTAACAACACACCCTTGTGCATGTCTACTCACAAATAAGTGCCACTTGTGAATAGGCATGGGGCTTCCTCCCAAGTAAGTGACATAAGAATGCAACCTACCACTTCAATGCTCTTGCAGTGAACGTAGACAATTCCCTCATGTGGCGTTTGCCCCAAATTCCTTCAAGAGGAAGGCAATTTTCTGCTTTGTGGTCCCAGATTACAATTGGCTAGTATCTTGCTAATCAGATAATTCTGGGGGCAGGCTTTTCGCCATCTGATGTAACATTCCTGCAGGTACAGCCTTTTCCATGAAGGGAAGCCATATCAGCCCACAAAGAAAGGCAGATCAGCAAAAAAGGCAGTCTTTCCCAATCTGGTGCCCTCTAGAAATTTTGGACTACAGCTCCCATCAGCTCCAGAGAGCATGGGCAATCGCTGAAGATTATGGGAGTTGCAATCAAACATGGTCTTCCTCATGATTATCACAAAAATGCATTATGTGTTCAAAAGAAGAAAATCCTTATGCAAAGATTCCAAATCTTGGGAGTGGCAAAGCTGGAAAGATAGAACCTCTTGAATTCTCAGATCACTAGCATTCTACTCTACTATTACTTTAAAGTAATAATAAAAAAGCAGCAACAACAGACTTTTAACAAGTTTATAAAGTAGAATGTGTATGTATGAGCGCTTCCAGGGGGAGAGCTCCAGCACTATCACTAAGGCATTGTACAACCTCTGTGTTTTTCCCCCTTAATGGATTTTCTGCAGTAGGAACAAGCATGGAAGACGTGGTGGGGAAGCATAGGAGGGTTTTGACTAGAAGGCATCATCTCCTGGATGTCTCCATGACACAGCGAATGATGCAGGGTGATGCCACAATAAAAGCTGAAAGCAGGAAGCACTGTGAGGGTGCACCTGGCTGCACATCAGCCTCTTGCTTGCCACCAGTGATACTACAGATACTGTTCTATGGAGTGAAGAACAAGTGGGCCCTAGATTAAATCAAGCTGGAGCTTACTCCAGAACCAAAGATTACAAAACTGAGGCTGTCTTACTTAGGACACATCATAAGAAGGAAAGACTCCCTGGAGAAGACTAGTCATATTAAGGGAAAGACAAAGGCAGAAGACAAAATATGAGATGGACTGGAAGCATAAAAGAAGCCACAGCCTTGAACTTGGAAAAGCTGAACGGAGCTGTCATGGACAGGACATTTAGAAACATAGAAACAGAGTGAGTCAGAAGGGGCCTCCTGGGCCATCTGGTCTGACCCCAAGCTCCAGCCAGCTCCACTCACAACATGCCCACCATGTGCATGTCTAGCCTATCCTTGAACACCCTCACCGATGGGGCCTCAACCACCTCCCATGGAAGCCCATTCCATACCCTTGGGATCCTAACTGTCAAGAAGTATTTCCTGGCGTCCAAATTGAACCTTGGTTCCCTGAGCTTCGCTCCGTTGGAACATATCCTGCCCTCCTCTGCAGGGGAGAACGGGTCACTACCCACCTCCCTGTGGCATCCCCTTACATACCTGTATGTCGCCAACAGAACCCCTCTGAGTCTCCTCTTCTCTAGGCTGAAAAGACCCAGTTCCCTTAGTCTCACCTCATATGGCTTTCCCTGCAAAATGGCCACCAACCTTGTGGCCCTACACTGCACTGACTCTAACCTGGCTATATCCTTCCTGTAATGAGAGGCCCAAAACTCAACACAATACTCCAGTTGCGGACACACCAGAGTCGTATAGAGTGGTAGTAATACCTCTCTCAATCTAGAAGCCATGCTTGTGGCTATGTAACCAAGGGAGGCGTTCGCCCTCTTGACCACCGCATCACACTGCTGACTCATGTTTAGCCCGCAGTCAACCAGCACCCCTTTCACAAGTGCTGCTCTCCAGCCACTTGTCCCCTAACCTGTACTTATGACTCCCATTCCTATGCCCCAAGAGCAAGACCTTGCACTTATCAACATTTAATGCAATCTGGGTGTCTCCTATCCACTTTGTCTCTCCTCAGTTGTGGCCACTGCCCTGGTTTTAGTATCATCTGTGAATCTGATCAGCAGACTGTTCACCCCATCTTCCATGTCGTTGATGAAAAGATTAAACAGGATCGGCTCCAGGACAGAGCCCTGGGCGACCCCACTTGTCACTGGCCACCATCTTGATGATTCCCCACTAATGGTTACCCTCTGCTTTCGGTCAGTCAACCATGCCCTAATCCATTGGAGAGTGCACTGGTGTATCCCAAAACTCCTCAGTTTCTCAACCAGGATATCATGGGGCACTTTGTCAAAGGCCTTGCTGAAATCCAGGTAAACCACATCCACTGCATCCCCTCCATCTAGCCACTTTGAAACCTTGTCATAGAATTCCACAAGGTTTGTCTGGCAGGACCTGTTATTGCGAAAGCCGTGTTGTGTGGCTGCCAGCCTCCTTTCCCTATCTAGCACCACTAGATCTCTCACTATTATGAGCCTTTCCATTGTTTTTCCTACAATGGACGTAAGGCTATCAATGAAATTTGGGAAGACTTTCATTGATAAGAGTCGCCATGAGTCAGGGACAATTTGACAGCACACAACAACAATGCTGCATGTTCCTCTACTGTTACAAGCATATATTTTGCATTTATTTTCCTTTTATTTGTAAAGAAAAGTCAATGGTAAGTGCACTAACTTTAAATTGTCAGTCTGTCTATAAGTAAGTAACAATATAGGTTAGGGAAAAAAAGAAGGCCAGAATGATGGCTCATCGTGGAAATTAACAAAGAAAAAAAAATTAGGCTTCAAGAGGAAGCCAATTTTAGGGTAACCATTCTGGCCAAAATTATCTATGGGCTTCTCAGAATAAGGAAAGCTTGTGCCCATTTTCCTCCTCCATATAGAACAAATTAAGAACTTAAACCTTGCTTTGTTCTATCTTCACTCCAATTTGGGGCAGGACTCAACAGCTCAATTCATCCATCAGTCAGACGAGCCTCTTCTCCCTTCCTGGGTTTATGCTTGACAGGATATGTCTTAAAGGTATTATTAATGGATTTTCTTTGTACAGTAGCCTTCAAGTGGAAGCTTCTTTTGAAGACTTTAAGTCAAGCATTTCCTAAAAAGATCTCCTGACAGTTTCTATTTTCGTTTCTGTAAACTCAGTTTGTGTAAACTATCTTTCCAGGACAGAATGTACAATGCAGAATACACAATACAGAGCGTGTTGCTGTATGTTCAGAAGATGGTTACAGAAAATGTTAGATGGAGACTCACCAAGTGGTGTTTCCAGAGCAAGGACTTTTGTACGAACAAAGCCAAAATGAGCAAGGACTTTTGTACGAACAAAGCCTAGATAACAGTGCACTTCTAAAGCAGGGACCAAAATTTTGTACTCACACATTAAATAAAGAACTGTTTTAATTAAAGGAAGAAATCTCTCTTGACCACCTACGTTCATAATTTCCCATAGCTTCTATGTGGCACACCTAGAAAACTAATTATTTTCTGATAAAACTTTAAAACATGTAATGGTGAGAAATTAAAAGTTAGTCTATTAAAGTAAGAGTCCCCTGACTTTTCTGTCTGAGGCCCTGTCTAAAGCTTTTAAAAATTAAATTTTCCCTTTGATAGGGGAGTATTTGTAAATTGGAAGAGGGCAAGTCCCCCCCACCCTTCTTCAGACCACCATTGTCTGACAGTTATGTGAGGGTTGATAGCCATAGCAACTGATTTTTTGAGGACTAGTATCTTTTGTGCCCCTATCTGCAACACCTACATTATAAAATGTAATGCTTGCCTTTCCTTCCTGAACAGGGGAAAACATTCAGAAGAGGCAGTTTTCCTCTGCAAGACTATCACAATGGGAGAAGTGGTTTCTGTGAAACTTCACTCTGAAAGGGCTTAAGGCCATTTCAGGGTTAAATTTAACCATTCTATCTAAAAGTCATGTGTCTGTGTATAACCCAGCCAGGTGCCTCATGTTTTCCCAGCATGGACTTAATTTGCACAGCATGCTTTCCACAGTAATAAGGCCTGGGAGTCCAGCTATTGAATACACATGTCAACATTACCCAAGACTGACTGCTTCATGATCATCTTTCATTCCACTTTATCAGTCGGCACCATTTCTCTGAGTGTGAAGAGAAGTAAACAGCTTCTCCCTACACCAGAGCTTTAGTTTTGTAATAGGAAATGCTATCCAAGATTCTGATGGAGGATTGCCATAAATAGCTTGAAATAGTCTTGAGGCCAAGCTCTGACTACTGCTCCCATATTTCTCAGCTGACCAGCACGAAGGAAACCACTAGCATCCTCCTCAGAGAACAAACATTCCAAGACTTTTATCTCAGACACTTGATGATCTAAGGATGGATGTAAGTTCAACTTGGACCAGCTATACTGTTGTAAATGGATCTCTTTCTCCTTCCCACAACAGCTCTTCCAGTCCCCTGAAAATGCTACACAATGACCTGGTATGCACACAGTGAGAGGCTAATTTCCCCACAAGGCTATTTGTTGCAGAAACATCTGCCTTTTTGACTATCTGGGTTGACAGGGACACTGTAGTTTGTCATTAAGTGTAAACCCAGTGAAGCTGGCTTGTTGGGCTTGATGAGAAACCACCCAGAATGCATAGATTGTTTTAGGACTGCAGGTGGCTTGGTAACCATCCAGTCAACTCACCCCGTCCAGGTTTGCAGAGGACAAGCTACAAGGCCCCAACCCATGGCCAACTCAAATATTTAAAATGGTGATGGCTCCCACACCAAGAACCCCTGTAGGGAAATTGGCTCATGTTTCATATTACATATGAACTAAGTCAGAGAGTCCAGAGCAGTGGTGTGTGAAGGAAGCCAGGATGCCCCAAAACTTTTAAGGTACTCTCCTGGAAGGCAGATTTTGGATGCAAACCATAGTGTCCGGTTGAGTATGCTAGATTTTAGCTATCAGATTGAAGAATTATTTTATAAACTTGCCTAAAATGATGCAGATTAATAAGTGTTTCTTACAAAAGTTAAATATATTGTTAAGTTTAGTATTACATAGCTAAACATTTAGCATACATACACTGCTTTTTTAAATGCTCAGAGTGCTTCATATGCATTATCTTTGCAGTTTTCACAGCAGCTCTGCCATTAAGGTTGGATTATTATTGCTGTATTGCAGATGGAGTGGGAGGAGGTTGAGGCTGCTGAGGCAAATAAAGAGCCTTGCTTTCAGTGGATGAGTGAACTGGAGGCTACAGTGCACCACAAAACTCCCAGTCGTAATCAGTTCTTAACTCTTAGCAGCCCATTGACTTCACCAGTTCTTGACCATGAATGACTGCTATGATCAATAACCAATGGAGACTATTTTAATGAAGGGATTTTCTAAGCTGTTCTTGGTTGGAGCTGGCTGGCATCACTGCTCTTGAAATCGCATTGTGAAAGCCTAAGGAGCCGCTCTACGCCAGCATCCTGACAGAGCTGTTCAACCCAACTGAGGGGACTCATAAGATGGGAAAGTTCTGCTGTTCAATTAGGCCTCCCTTAGAGAATGTGGCAAACTGGGGGCTAATATTGACAAATAATTGTCCCAGCAATTCTAGTCTGGCTACCCAACAGCCTCACATGCTGCCTGGGGGCTGCTGACTTAAAGGCCTGAGCTAGATGGTGCAAAGTGTGTCATGGCTTGTGGAAGAAGGCTGGTGCAACCAACTCACAAATTGGACATACTTCCAAGGCCACATGAACATCTGTGGTACAGGGATGAAAGAAACGACTTGCCTGGTAGAGTGTAAGTGTGCTTTAAAGTTTTTTCAGGTGTCTACCTGTGAGATCTTTTGAGCATGAGTGATAGGAGTGCCTGCACCCCTCTGAAACAAAGGAGTTGTATACAGCCAGAAAGACAGCAGAGGTTGGGACAGAACTCAACTGGGAAGACTGAAACTAGCCCCAGCTTCAGTCCAAAAGCAGGAGGACTGAGGATGGTTCTCCATCATATGAGGAAAGACTGTGAAGGGGAATTGTACAGGTTTTCCCCCAGGTGAGATAGTTTAGCTCCTGATGTAAGGATATTTACAGCCAGGCAGGTAGGTGTGTGTGTTATCATGGAGATAGACAAGATGTGTTGCTCTTTCATTTCTCCTTCCAGGCCTTCTCTATAATGTGCAGATCTGCTCTGAGTGAATTGCTTGACCAATTCACCTCTGATGTAAAGGATCCAGCCCATAGCAGCAGAGCTGAGCAAAGTCCTTAAAGGAAGGGATGTACCAGACAGAGTAGAAGAGCTTATTCTTTCTAAGAGACAACTCTGAGAAACACTTCAGCTTAAAAAGTTTTAAGTATTGGGGGTGAAAGGAAAAATGAGCCAAGGACCACCTTCCCTCTTACCATCTGCCCTTCTGAAACCCAGCTTTGGTTGGTATCATAAGTTGACATAAAACAAAAAATAGAAGAGCTGCTTACACTTCTCCTGTAATGAATCATGTGGAACTTCTCCCTGGGGACTCTCTTCCAAATCTCCATAATGCAAAACTTTGTGGTTCGGTGAGAGTCGGCAATACCAAAACTTGTCTGATAAAATAATAAAATATTGTTAAAGATGATTCACCTGTACTGTAACAACCAGGAGAATGTGATTCAGAAAGATACATATGGCAGGAATAAGATTTGTCAACAAATATTGTGAGGGCCCTCTGCCTCCTATTGGTGAATCTTTTACCCCTGTTTCGCACTCCAGCCCTTTACATCTCTTTCCACCTTCATCTCCTCCCACTATATACTGTTTTTTAAAGTGTTTCTTGAGAGTTGGTGCTGGTAATATATCTGCTGGTAGGCTCAGGCTGCAACAGTTTTGAGCCTGCAATGTCAGTGCCAACCAATTCCCTTTTTGAAATGAAGACAGCTAGGGCCTCTCTCCCCTAGAAAACCTCCATTTAATAAACAGGTCATAGAACAAGGATCTGTCAGAAATGCAATTTTGCTGCATCTGAACTGTAGTTCTCTTTCTTACTAATCTAAAACAAGATCATGCAACAGCGATTCCAACTGCAATCTCCGTCTTCTGGTATGTCTGAACAACGCCTATTCCTCATAGTTATCATGAGTGGGGAAAACCAAGGAATATTTTCTGACAATACTTCCTTATGTGACCAACAAGCAAAGTCAAACAAATAGGATCTCTGGTAACTATGCCTTGATCTCTTCCTGCTTTATCTCATTTCGTATATCTTACAGCATTATCCTAGCCATAGCTAAATGTTGTTGAATTCAATGACACTTCTAATAAGTTGGCACAGGATTCTATCCTTATACTGCCATCCTATACACATTAATCTGGGAATAAAACCCATTAAACACAATGGGACTTACTTCTGAGCAGGCCTGTACACTGCTGTACTGTTAGAGAGTATTTTTGATTACTTAATTGCTTCTCTTTGCTTAGGGTAACCACCAGCTTTACATGTAGATCCTCTAAGATTTTTACTATACTCCATATATGCTCAAGTCTTCATAATAATAAAAGAAATTTCATATAAAATGCCCTTCATTGGATTAGTACAAGATGGTGGAAATGCTTATCCATAAGAGGGGAGGTTTTTCTTTCAGAAAGGCTGAGTGGTAAATCCCTTTGGTTCAGCATAAGCAGAAAATATGCACTTTATCTGTTTGCATTAAAAGCAAGCAGTGAGAAACAGTGCAGTCATTGTCAAAATCTAGGTACAAGAATTAGAGAGGGATCTAAAAGAAAGCTGTTCTTTAAAATGAGATTTTCTATGGCCCTGAAAATCACACACCATTTCAAAAGGAATGTTTATCTTGCCATCAAGTTTTGTAAAGTTAAGCAAGAGTGTTTGTTTGTTTGTTTGTTTACAGAATGGTCCTATAGGCCTCTAAGATCACTCTAAAAACAGTAGGGTAAGCAGCACTGCTTTTTTAGAAATAGAAAACAGATCCTTAAGATGCTGAATTCCAACTTGGATACCAGATTATTAGAGTAATCCCAAATGTATAGAATAGGTACAGTGCTGATTGTAACTTTCTGCTCACTTTGTCTATAAACCTCTTGAAAGAACCATGAACAGTACATATGTTCAGAATGGGTCGAGCTAATACAAATGGGTCTCGGTTTTCATGCAGTGTTGAGAGGACTACAGAGCATGCTGAGATTTCACCACAAGGCAATTTTTCCTGCCCCACACTCTGTTTCTTTGGCCACAACTTGTGAGTGTTGATGAGGTGTTTTCAGTAAGTCTGTCATGCTATCTAGATCCAACCTCAGTGCAGCAACATTTCTACTCCACTATTTAAACCACAAGGGTTTCTTCTAGTCAGTTCACAGAAAGGATTTTTCAATAATCAAGAAAAGCACAAGAGGGGCAACGCTTGAAAAGACAGGAAGAACAGTACCTTGCCGTCGTCGACTGTTGAGTTTCCTAAAGCAGGTTCCCTCGACAAGACGATTAAGACGCTGCTGCTTAATTAACTCTAAAATTTCAGGCTGAATCTTCTCCTTTAGCTCCCTGGGGGAAATATGCAAGCAAACACACACAAGCTTAGGCATATCTCACTAGCTTTCCTCAGGATGTTAGAAAACTTCACACTTTACACACACCTTTCCAGGAAGGTTTTGAGCTGCAACCATTCTGTGGATATTAGAATGCTGGAATTTTGAGCCCGGCAGTACACTTCTACTTTGGTCAAACTGTTTATCCTGTCTGTGCTGTGGGGTAGCAACATCCTCTGTTATGCTGCCAATTATTTGCAAAAGCTCTCTCCTACTAGCAAATTTGATACAATTTGCAATTCATAACATGAGCCTCTTCTCCTCAGGCCCTCTCTGCATTGCAGCGCCTTGCGTATTTAGGGATGGATAGGGCCCTGTTGTGTGCCCGGCAGCTAGGGAAAGGGTCTTTTGCTGCAAAGACTGGGGCACTTTTCCCCAACCTGGTGATCTTGAGATGTGTTAGACCACAAATCTATAATTCCCAGCCTATGTGGTCAACATGGTATACTAGCTGGGAATTAAGGGAACTATAGCCTGCACATTGTGAGGATACCTTTTCCTAGCGGCACTGAAAATACAAAAGAAGACAATACTACAAATGCAAAATCTATAGATTAGGGTAACAGAATATACGTTCTCCCACCCTACCCTCCAAATCCTTGAAATGGGAATAATGGCAGCATTCTTTACATTCAAGAGACCGGCTCTCTTTAGTCAAGAAACCTGATCCGTATTAGAAGTGGAATTGTTTGTTTAATCTGCAGGGAAATTGAAACACATATGCAAACACATACATGCACACATGCAAACTCTTTTCAACTGATATATTGACTAATTTCAACTGATATATTGACTAATATATTGACTAAACTAAGTTATGGAACGCGCTCCCCAGAGAGGTCCGCCTGGCGCCGTCGTTATTTGTTTTTCGGCACCAGGCGAAGACCTTTTTATTCAAGCGGCATTTTAACTGTTAACATTATTGGTTTTATCTGGCCAGGGCGGCTTATTTTATACTGTATTGCTGTATTTTAATTTTATATTTATATTTTAATTTATATTATAATTATTTTAATTTATTGATGTGAGCCGCCCCGAGGCTTCGGCGAATGGGGCGGCATAAAAATGTTTTAATAAATAAATAAATAAATAATTTCCCTTGAGGAAAAACATTTATATTCAACGCCTATTGAGAAATTTGAATTGCATTCTGTCAATAAAGCTGCCTCACACTATCAATTCCATATTCTTTTTGTCTCCAGGCAACATAACCAATAGCTTCACCTGCCTTTGAAGCATGGCCCTGCGCCTGGAACTTCAGCTCTCAGGATCTACGAGGAGGAACCCAAAAATCCAGGCATTTATCTTCTGGAGGGTGGGCACCTTGTAGTACAGGCTTCCTCCACTTAGGGGCATGTTCTAGGAACCCATCTGCATCAGCTGGGTTGTTGTGAGAGGCTGTGCTTGGCTTCAGTGAGGGTTTTCTTTTCTTTGAGAGTCTTCCAACGCATTTGCCTATTTCGTGATGGCTGATTTACACGAACAATGTACGGCGGTAAAATTTTGTTCAGCTGAGTGTCCAGCCGTTTTTGACCTAAAATGGCATGACCCTTGTGCCCCACCCTCCCTATTCACCCGATCTCGCCCCATGTGACTTTTTTTGTTTCCTTGGATAAAAAAAGTCCTCAAAGGAAAATGTTTTGTCCATGTGGAAGAGGTGAAACAAAAAAACAAAAAAAATAGCAGAAGCACTGAAAGGCATCAAAATCGATGAGTTCAAAACCTGTTTTGAGCAGTGGGAAAAATGTCTCAGTAGGTGCACTGCATCCAAAGGAGAGTACTTTGAGGGTGACTGAAGTGTGAGCATGTAAAAATAAATATACAATTTTTATAACTAAATTTCTAGGTTTTTTTAGCCCCCCCACCCCTTGTACCTAGTGAGGAAGATGCTTGTTTCCTGGAACTCATTTGTGAGTCTGGGCAACTACAGCATTACCAAGGAAGCTCTGCCCTTTTCCTAGAACTTTTAACTCCTGCATTCCAGGCCCACTCCAAGACATTTTGGTGCCCGAGGAATTAAAATGGACTAAATCACACAGGTTTTTGAATATTATGGAGCACAGCTTTGGATGATGGCCTCTAAGTATAATTTACTACTACAAACAATCTCTTCAGAATGAAATGATTTTGTCAGTAGGCTAGAGAACAAAATCTCACACTGCATTGTGAGAAGTCACATTGCAAATACATAAAAACTGTGTCAGTCTCAAACCTGGGATTTTTGAAATCAGTTGAGAATGAAGCCCCTCAAGCAAAAAATTTATACATATCCAGCATATAAACCTGATTTCACATTCTGTCACTGGGATGCATTGGGTGGCCTCAACCTATTTTGTCATCGTCATGCTTAGACTTGTTGAGAAAATAGGAAGATTATATTTCAAAACCAGTTTGACTGTAAATCAAGCAAAAATGCGCTATCACCAGCAAGATCCATTAGATGCAAAGTGCTCTTTTGCTAAAAGTGGGCCAGCATCTGCCATGGTGAAGGGGCAACTGTGTCACCCTAGTTAAGATAGGAATTAGGCCTGAGAGAGGCTTTGATATTTTGTCTAATGCACAAAATTATGCAACAGGAATACTAAATATCAGTTCATATAGGGAAATGAGAAAGATGAGTGAGGATGTCCATATACCCCCAAACATGGAGGGTAATGGGCATTGTGTGCAAGGCAACAGAAATTAGGAAGTGATCCTTACCTCCCTGCTCTTCCCATCCTGCAAGTCAGCCAGATGGCTGATTTCAGGCATCTGCGGTGGTTTGGATGCAGAAGGAAGAAGACTGGAGCGCCACCAGGATATGTCATATCCCGGCAGTCCCAGTCTTCTCCCTTCCCTACCTTGTGGAACGCTGTCCTTACCCCTCTGACCTCAGAGAAACATTCTGCATGGTTCTTTCCACAGCAGGAGGGAAAAAGGATTGGAACATGGATCCCTGACTCTGAAGTGGGAGCTCTTTTTCCAATTTCAGACCTGGGAATCTGAAATATCCTACAGTGAAGTATTTTTTTTTAATGGATCTCAAAGATAGCACGGGAATTCAGTTTTCTGTTTTCATTGAGTTCCTGTGGCTCTGTGCTTCTACTATAGCTTTCATTTTGCTTTCATTTCATTTTCATCAGATTCATGATGATGACATTTTGTTTTCCATGAGCAGCTGTAAAGAACAGCAAAAATGCATGGGGTGGGGAGGAAAACACACTAAGGGTGAAAATGCCAAAGCATTGTTTGTTGTGAATAAACTACTCTGAGCTCTACAGGGATTAGAAGAATCTACTTTAGGTGGGTACAAAGAGGTTTCTTTAAATTCCTGCAGAAGAAGTGAATGCATGTCAAGTAGATGTAACTGCCCTGCTTTCAAACAGTGGCCCTGAACCAGTTTTATTCTCCAGGGTGATTCCTGAAGAGCTCACAAATGTCATTCACATTAGATGTTCCAAGGAGGAGGGGGAGAGGGAAGCAAGACATCTCTAGGAGAAAACTTACAAAATTGGACGAGACTGGAAGTCTTCCTGGTTCATCCTCTCAGACTGGCGGATTTTCAGTATTTCTGCGTAGCTTAAATTTTGTAGTTTGCTTTTGAACTGATCCAGAGAACTAGGCTTCGTGGTCAGTGCTCTCATTATTTGCTCCCTCACCACTTGCATTACCTGAGGAAGAAGACAAAGAAGGCTTAGCAACAGCAGAGCAACCATTTCCTTGGGCTGCACAAAATTATTCCAGAAACAATTTGTGAGGTGCATTAAATTTCAATTTTGCTGTATAAATCAGAACATCCCCATTCTTAGCATTTCATACCAGGAAAACAAAAGACACATTACTTTTTCTATTATATACACAAATTACTAAGTGCTTTTACACTTTTCTGTTCAGTTTTAAGCATGATAACAACATGAACAATAAACTGCCCCCCACCACCAAAGGGGGAAATTTGCCCAGGGCCCCCTTGAACAACAGCACCCCTCCTCATGCCCTATCTGTCCCAGAGGACCCTGCCCCATAGCTCACCAGAGTCCCACTTGTATGGTTGGTTCCTTGTATGGGGTAGCAGCAGGACCCTCCAGAGCATGCCTACCCTGAACTCCACCCTCAGTGTGGCCTGACCTTGTAGTACTTCAGTCCAGACAGGCTAAGAACCTCCCCGAGCAACTTTTCAATGTCAAATTTTTAAGATCATCAAATTGTCACAAAACAATCATTTAACAAAAAGCACTAGACACAGCACTTTTAATAAATTTAAGCATAAAGGAAGATCTTATGCCTGAAGCTGTCACTGGAACTGAGCAATTCTGTACATGTCCACTAAGAAGTACGGCCCATTGAGCTTGGTAGGCCTGACTTCCAGGGATGCAAGTAACAGGCTGCAGCCTCTATCTAGTTGGACTTCGTGCCCTGTGAGATGTGTGAAATGGATGAGGTTTTTTTGTCCTCAGTTCTTTAGGTACCCCTGTGAAAAGTGGGCAGGCAAAACTTGGAAAACTTTGGGCAGCCTCCTTGCAGAGGGACTTCTCTAGAGTCTTCCTTGGCATTTTAAGAGGCTTTGCTGAACTGATCAAGACAAACAAAGCCACACCAGTTTCACTTTGCCTGGTTTCAGTAGCCAAAATGAAATAGATAAAGTACTCTTTAAGAAATTAAAAATGATCTTCAGTATTGTTATTTCTCCAGTTCTGAGGCCAAGGTTGCGCCCCCATTTTTAAATGGGGTATTACAGCAGTAGTTATTTCTCATAATGAGATGGGTAACAAAGCCAGCCTTATGCATAACCCAAAGGGACCAGATTCACCACAATGGAGAATTTGATCGTTCCATATTGGTTTAATTATCAGCACTAGCCTAAAACATCAGAAATTCTGGCACAGTATCAGTTTCACCATTAATGCCTATTTTCTAAACCCTATCATCAGAGTGTCTGGAAACTAGGGACGGAGGAGAAATTTGTTCAGTTCCTCATTTTGCACTTTCAGACCAATTTACCAAGTGAATTTCAAGTTATCTTTTGAAATGCACACTTCTCCAAATTTTCCAAAGGAGTCCTCCAATAAAAAAATGAAAACAAAATTTGTAGTGAAAACATTGTTAAAATGTACTATATTAGGAAAAGAACTTGCAAACAATGTGCACTTTAGGCAAAATTAGGTACAAAACTTCATTCCTCTCAAGAAATGCACACAAAACTGTATGTAAATTGTCATGTAAACTTTTTTCTAAGGACGAACTGAATTGAAGAGTGGAAACATTTCCAATATATAGGATAATCCCAACATAATGCTGGAAAATGAGGAACCGAGAGAAACGGAAATTGATGAAGTAATGTGGCCTGCCATTTCAAAGGACCCTTGCAGTAGGCATGAACAGACTTCAAGCTTGTAGGATCTACCACTTTCATTTTTTATTTGAAACTTAAAGTCCACCAACCACGGTCTCATGCTAAATGGTCACTTGGAGGATTGAGCTGTTGACCTCCTGTAGTCCATGAATCTTACACTGACATGGCTGTGTGCATACAAATCCTAATTTATACCTAGTTTAGTACAGATGAGGGATTCCAACAGCCTAATTTGGATTTTGGAGAGGGCTTTTTACTGGTTTACCAAATGGAAGTTGGAAGCCCTTGTTGATTTATTGCAAATCATCCAGTGCACCCCTGAACTATAGTGTTAAACTCATTGGGTCTTAATTCCCCCCCTGCCTGCTGCTGGCTGCCATAATCTTCAGGTGACCACGCACCGTTATGCAGGAATTAATTCACCTCTAATCAAAAATATTTTTGTTTGCCTGAGCTCAAACATTAGCCCACATACAAAACTGTATATTTAATTTTCATATATTTATAAAAAAGAGTTAAACCTTCAAACAAGAGTTTAAGATCAAAAGAGTTTCTGAAGGGGAAGCACAAACAATGTAATCTAGAGAACCAGAATGAGAAACAGCAAAGCAAGAGTAGTAAATCTGCATGTTAATTATTTAACTGGGGGAAAATTCTACAAAGATGCAGTGAATTAACATGGGGGAAAGGAGGGAAGGCGGTTGTCAAACCAACCAAGTAGACATTATATTTTTGTGGACTGCAGTCAGGCCTGATGAAATTAAACATCTATTACTTTTCAAGCATTCTATAAGATAAGGGAGTACTTTAAAACACCCCTCACAAATTTATCACTAAATACATAAAACAAAAAACTATTGAAGCTCAAGTTTTTGTTTTTTCAGGTTTGTTTGCTTGCTAGAGCAGACTGGGAAAGGGGGAGCAATGCACTCAGTTGACATGCTAAACTTATAAATTTATAATGAACCAAGAAGCTTGAATTTTTAGCACAGTTTGTAGAAATCTTATTCTCAAATAATGTTCGGGCCTAAGTTGTGAGAAGAGAGCAGATGTAAGACCAAACTCAAAGAACTTCATGCCATCTTGATGCAACGAGTACTATTGTTTGTGCAAACCCCATTCTTTTTAGTGGGGTTTGCTTGAGAAGGAAGAACAGGATCCTGTTAGGAAGCATGAAAAGTCCATGTTCTCCAGTTAACTGTTTCAAACAAGCACAGCAGCTGGATAGTCATAGTCATCTTTGGTTGCCAACATTCTTAATCTTAGAATAGTAGAGCTGGAAGTGGCCAGAAGGCCATCAGATTCAACCCCCTGCTCAGTGCAGGACTCCCAGTTAAACCATCCCTCTCAGATGGCTGTCCAGTTGCATCTTGAATGCCTTTAGTGTGGGAGAGCCCACAACCTCTCTGGTTAATTGGTGCCACTGCTATAACGTTCTAACAATCAGGAATTTTTATCCTGATATCTAGCCAGAATCTGGCTTCCTGTAACTTGAGGCCATAATTCTGTGTTCTGTACCCTGGGATGATCAAGAAGAGAACCTGGCCTTCCTCTTTGTGACAGTCTTTTAAGTACGTGAGAGTGCTATCATATCCTTCTCAAGTCTTATCTTCTCGAGCTTAAACATGCCCAATTCTTTCGATCTCTCCTTACAGGGCTTTGTTTCCAGTTCTTGGATCATCCTTGTTGTTCTCCTCTGAACCCTTTCCAGCTTGTTTGCATCTTCAATCTGTGATCTACAACAATTCCAAGATCCTTCTCACTTGCAGTATTGTTGAGTCGAGTATTCCCCACCTTGAAATGATGCATTTGGGTTCTTTTTCCAAGGTGCAGAACTTGGCATTTGTTCCTATTTTATTTCATTCTGCTTTTCTCAGCCCAGTGCTCTAACCAATCAAGATCAACTTGAATCTTCTTTCTTCTTTTGATGGTATTAGCTATTCCACCCAGTTTTGTGTCATCTGCAAATCTGATAAGTGTTTCATGCACTCCCTCATCTAAGTCAATAATGAAAATGTTGAACAGCACTGTACCCAGGACTGAACTCTGTGGTACCCCACTTCTTCCTTCTCCCCAGTTTCAGATGAAGCCATTGATGAGCACTCTTTGAGTCTGATTCTGTAGCCAGCTGTGGATCCACCTGATTGTTGCTCTAGCTTACCCATTCATGAGACAAGCCTCAAAATGCTGAGCACAAACCATGTTGGCTTCAAGTTTCTGAGGGTCCTTGAGCATGCTATCCTTAATGGGTTGCCTCCTCCAGTGAGTCTACAGTCTCTGCACCATTGTTACCATCTGCTGCTGTTCCTTGTTCTCTCTCTTGGAACTGCTTCCACATGTCTGCTTGAGAGATGGAGAACCTGTGAGCAAGTAGGCAGTGGAACTGACTGCTGCTTTTCCTCTTCCTCACTTTTGCTGTATAGCCCAGGGCAAGAAGATGGCAGAGAAGCTGGTTGCAGTGGTGGAGAAGAGGACAATTCCAGGGTGCTCTTGTCAGTGAACCCCTAATGGGGTATGGGACATCAAACAGGTGCTTGAGTATGCCAACATTGAAGCCAGCCCTGCCAAAATTCAAGTCCATCTATGGAGAAGCTTCAGCACTCTATTTCTTAGGAGTGTGCCAAAAACATTCTCCTCCGAAGAGTGAATGGTTAAAAGTTGGGTGCAAATGCAACTGTATTTGTGGAATGCTGAAGACAACCAGGACACATTTACAAGCAACTTGTGTACAGCCAAATATATTACTTGTTCAGAGAATAAAAAAAGCTGAGATTCATGTTTCTGGGAGAAGGGACATTCATATACTACTTTGGAAGCTTTAGAAAAAGGCATCCATTATGTCATGCGAGGTCGTGAATGTCAGACTAGGATTAATCTTTTAAAGAAGTGAAATCCTTTAAAACAACAGTAATGTTATCTGCCTGGTAGGAAACTACATTAAGACTCCATTTTGACAATGAATTTTGCAATCTTGATTGCTAATTTAGAAGGAATAGTGCTTCTTATTACCATGCCTGCCAAAAAATTAAAAGCATTGTAAATTTCACCTCTTTTTGCCATTTCTGCCTTACTCTGAATAGAAATCACGGCATTATTCCAAATCGAATGGCTAGAAACAACCCTTAATGAAACAGTTTGAAACACGTCCATGGGATTTGTTCAGCTTTGGATGTAGTACTATAAACATTTAGAATATAAACAGAAAAGGACTCCAGAGACTCCTGGAATAAAATTATGTTTCTTATCACTTATTCAGGAGCCAGTGCTAAGCAGACCAAATTTTTTAGAACTCTTCAGCTTTGTCATTCTTTTTCTGTCTTT